GCAGTTATAAAATGAATAAATTCCGAGGCTCTCGTGTGTAGCACAGTGACCAAAGTGAATTCTACTGTATTGCATACTTGAAATTTGCTGAGAGCCGATAGTACACGTTCTCACTGAAAAGAAAAAGAAAAAGAAAAAGGTAACCATGTGAGGGGATTAACACCTTCATTACCTTGATTGTGAAAATCATTTCACAACATATATGTATATTATCATTTTGTCAGTTGCACCTAAATAAAGCTGGAAATAAATCAGTAAATAAAAACTAGAGGCAAAAAGAGCCCTATGGCATAACAAAGTTGATCAAAATCACTATACAAATATCAATTGCATGTCTTTACATAGTAAAATTTACCTAGAAATTGTGACTTCTAAAAAATAGCTTTAACAACAATAGTAGATAAATATCTAGAAGTAGTTCTAAAAAAAGATGTGAAAGCATATTATGGAGAAATCTGTAACTTTTCACTGAAGGATACTAAGGAAATGGAAAGAATATTCAATTTTTTGGATAGACATGCACAATATCATAGAGATGTCAATTTTCTTCAAATAGCTTTATAGATTTAAGGCAAATCTTAGGATAGTACTGCATTTGAGAAGCTGATTTTAAAGTTTATATGACCCAGAAGGAACTCTAATTCAAAAAGATACATGCACCCCAATGTTCATAGCAGCACTATTTGCAATAGTCAAGACACGGAAACAACCTAAATGTCCATCAACAGATGAATGGATAAAGAAGTTGTGTGGTATATTTATACAATAGAATACTACTCACCCATAAAAAAGAATAAAGTAATGCCATTTGCCCCAACATGGATGGACCTAGAGATTGTCATTCTAAATGAAGTAAGCCAGAAAGAGAAAGAAAAATACCATATGTTAACACTTACATGTGGAATCTAAAAAACCAAAAAAAGACACAAATGAACTTATTAACAAAACAGAAACTGACTCATAGACAAAGAAAACAAATTTATGGTTACCAGTAGGGGGAAGTGGGTGGGAAGGGATAAATTGGGAGTTCAAGATTTGCAGATACTAAGTACTATTTATAAAATAGATAAACAAGTTTCTTCTGTATAGCACAGGGAACTATATTCAGTATCTTGTAGTAAGCTACAATGAAAAAGAATATGAAAACAAATATATGTATGCCTATGTATGACTGAAATATTATGCTGTACACCAGAAATTGACACAATATTGTAAACTGACTATACTTCAATTTTTTATAAAGCAAAAAAAAAGAATAAATGGCAACCAGTCTTCATAAATAATAAAAAGCCAACACAAGGGAAAAATTAAAAATAAAAATAAAATAAAATAAAATTTATATGAAGGAGTAATAAAGAAAGAATATTTAACCTGATGGCAAAGAAGAACAAAATGGTATACTTGTCTTACCAGATATCAGGTTATACTATGGAGCAATGGTAACCAAAATGATATGGTCCAGGACCGACGGAAAAATAGTAACAATCTACATGAAGATTTATTGCAGGCTTTGATTTACTGATTTATGGAGGCATTGAACTTATGCTTTATGACAACATGGCACTGCATTGTTGGGAGAGGATGGCACCATTCAGTAAAAAGTGCTGAAATTATTACCCCTATTGGAAAAAATGAAATTTTGATTCTCTATCACAGAACACACAAAAATTACTCCAAAATCCCAAAGTCTTAAACGTGAAAGGCAAAATGATTAAATGCTTAGAATATATTCTAGGAAACAAGTTTTATGACCTCAGAGAGTTAATCACTTCTTATAAAATAATCACTTCTTATTATAAAATAATCACAATTCAAAAGTGAAAAGAGTGATAAATTCAACTTATTTAAAAATAAGATGATAATGGGTTAATATTATCTGGGTTATATATATCCAGAATATACAACAAACTCCTACAAATTAACAACAATGAAAAACAAAAACCAGCATGATATTTTTAATGAGCAAAGGACTTAGACATTTCCCCCAGAGAAGATAAGTAAACGGCCAACAAGCACATGAAAA